TTCTTGTGATCATTTTGACCCCACAGTTGATTTCTTCACACCAAGCTGTTTACCTATTGCAGATTCAGACTTCCCAGCCTGGTGCAGGTCTATAATTTTGTTTCGGGTGTCCTTTGACAACTCTCTAGTTTTGGCCATGGTGGAGTTTAGAGCGTGACTATTTGAGGTTGTGGACAGGTGTCTTTTATACTGATAACAGGTTCAAACAGGTGCCAACTTTTAAGGTGTGGCCATGGGTTTGTCCATCACAAAATGAATTCCTCTCAATTCTCTCTTTTAATTTTGTTTCCGACATAAGCTAATATGAATCAAGCTGTGTTTGGCTAAGCAATAATCAGGATTGCTGCTGTAATTCATTTGCTGTAACTGAGTTAATTTATTTAGAATTTTAAGCCTAAATGTTATCATATCTTATCATTAACAAATAATTCACTTCCTTATTTTTCTGTCTCATGTCTTCCAGAATTGCACTCCCTCACTTACATCTACACGGCCTTCTCCAAACCTGTCACTCTCCCGGGGCTGCATGAGTTCACCGCTATGGGTTTGCTGGATAACCGAATGATTGACTACTATGACAGCGAACACCAAAAGAAGGTTCCCAAACAGAAATGGATGGCAGATCACCTTGAAAAAGAGTACTGGGACAAAGGCACCCAGTCCAGAAAGAGCAAGGAGCAATGGTTCAAGGTCAACATCGACATTTTGATGAAACGAATGAGACAGAATGACACCGGTAAGATCTGAGGAGTTTAAAGTATCTATAATCAATGATAAAAATTATAAAACTTATTGTAAATAAATGCCTTATCCAAACACTATTACTCTTACTAGAAAACACATTTTAGTTTATTTCCTTTTTAATTTTGAATGAAAATAACTTTTCCATATTAAATTAGGTTTTCCTCTACTGTTATCCAACAGATACCCATATTCTTCAGTGGATGCACGGCTGTGTGGGTGAAACTCAGCCCGACGGCTCTCTGAAGTTTGTCAAGGGGATGGACATGTACAATTATGATGGAAAGGACTTTCTGTCCTTCGATGATGACAAACAGGTTTGGGTTGCTCCAATTACAGCAGCATTGGAAACCAAGAGGAAGTGGGATGATGTCCAGGTCCTAAACGAATACATCAAGGGCTACTTG